ATGCCCTTGTGACCTGGTCCCAGCCGCTCTCTCATTCCTGATTTTGGGTTTTTGTGGTGCCGAGATTCGAACCCAGGGCTCCGCGCTGCCTCTCGAGCCACGGTCCCCAGTAGCCTGGGCAGGTCGCCCGCTGGACCTGGACGGGGCTCGGTGTCCTGGGCACACTGTGACGCTCGTCCCCCCCAGCCGGTGTCCCCAGCTTGTCACCTGTGAGTGCCTAGAGCCCTGGAGTCACTCGTTCATCACTCGTTCATCACCTGTCATCACTCGTTCAGGTTGCGCCTCGGTCTCACAGCCCAGCCATGTCGGGGTCCCCTCGTCCTCCTCCTCGTCCTCCTCCCTGTCCTCCTCGTCCTCCCCGTCCTCCCTGTCCTCCTCCCCGTCCTCCCCGTCCTCCCCGTCCTCCTCCCCATCCTCCTCCCTGTCCTCCTCCCTCAACCTCTTCCCCGTCCTCCTCCTCGTCCTCCTCGTCCTCCTCCCCGTCCTCCTCCTTCTCCTCCTCCTTCAAACGGTTTCCGTGTGCCACAGTGTCAGGTGTAGAAACACTCCGCCATGTCACCTCCTGCGTCCCTGTCCGTCCATGTGTCAGTGTCCGTCACTGTGCAGCGGGTCCTCGGCATTGTCCCTGAAAGTGTGCTGTGCTGATCGGTGTCACCTCCATGCCCCCCCCCACCTGTCCCACCTGACTGCTCAGCAAATCCCCGACAACCCCGGCCGCCTTCTTTGCTTCTGACGTGAAAGCCACGCACGTGTCACTGCCCCTCCCGTCCACGTGTCACTGCCCCTCCCATCCACGTGTCACCACCCCTCCCGTCCCCGTGTCACCACCCCTCCCGTCCCCGTGTCACCACCCCTCCCGTCCCCGTGTCACCGCCCCTCCCGTCCATGTGTCACCTCCCCTCCCGTCCACGTGTCACCTCCCCTCCCATCCCCGTGTCACCGCCCCTCCCGTCCACGTGTCACCGCCCCTCCCTGTCGTCCCCCGCTCCTCTCTGCCCACAGCAGGGGTGAGCGTGACACTTCTGGCCACAGCCGGCCCTCCACTTGCCTTTGTCGATAAAGTTTTATTAGACGCCAGCCGTGCACACGGCTCGTTTCAGCCTGCTGTCCATGGCTGGTGAGTCGGGACAGAGCCCAGACTCCACCGTCCAGTCCTCTCGGGTCAACTCTGCCAGCCTCTGTCCTGCAGGGTGCAGTCCAGATGTGTCCCTTGCCCCCTTCCATGACATGAGCCTTGCCTGCCTCTGGTGTCCAGTGCCACATCTCCGACCCTGTACTTGACTGACTGCGTGACCGCTCCAGAGACAGAGAAGGGAGAACGGCCTGGTTTAACTGAGGAGAAAAGGGAGTCAACCTTGCCTGTGCCCCGCGCAGACAAAGGGAAGACGTCAGTTGATTAACGGGCTGAGGAAACAGGAGGACCCAGTGGGCGACACCGAGAGTTTGTCCCTGTCGTGTCTGGTCTCGGGCCGGGGATGCCACCGGTCTCTGTCCAGCTCCTCACTTATGGCCGCCAACCGCTCAACTCACGCCTGTGCCACCTGAGGCCAAGCAAACCCCGCAGCCCCCAGCCTGCTGGAGCCACCCACGTGTCCACCGCAGACTCAGGTGGACGGAGCCGAGTCCACGTCCTCACCTGGGGACCACAGCGACGTGAGGGCGGCTCGGGGATGGGAGAACCCCGGGTGTTAGCTCGTGAGGACAATGTGGCCGTGGCACTGGGCGTCAGGACAGCCGTTGTCAAGTGCGCTAAGCGCGGTTCTGTGCTGGTGACAGAGGTCAGCGTCACTTCAATCCGCTGCCACATCTGGGACACAAGGGCCGATCCGTAGCAGGGACATGGGGACAAAGCCATTAGCCCTGGACCCACAGCCCCTTAAGGAACCGGGAGACCTGGCTGTGCACACGGGGACCCCCTGTGTCACCAGCGCTCCGTGGAAGGGACAGCTGTGTCCACCTGGAACCCCAGGTCTGGACAACTTTGAGAAAATCCAAGACTCACCAAGGTTGCCTGTGAGTTTGTACAAAGCCACCTGAACCAAGCCCTGGAGTGAGGTGTCATCGTCACCCCTGGCGTCCAGAACAAAGGATGGACAGACACACGGACAGCAGAGGAGCAGCACTGGGTGATCGGATGGCTGTGACAGAGCAAGTGATGACAGCTCGGCTGGGGTGATGACAGCTCGGCTGGGGCGATGACACTGGGCGTGGCTTTCGGCGACTGCCAGGTTGATGGACGGGGACACTGCACAGGTGACGTCACCAGGCCATACTCAGGGCTCCCATTGGAAATGCTGTTCCCAAAGGGGCATCTGGGGACAGTTGTGGGTACAACTAGGTGACCTGTCCCTTGTGACATGACCTGTGAGGAGGCCACCTGTCCCCCACGACCTACTTTGGGTACCTGCCCTGTCTCAGTGGGTCAGACGTCACCTTTGACCCTGGCGGTCACTGAAATAGCCACACAGGAAGGAGCATCTCAGTGACATTGCAAAAAGTGATCACAGCTCTGTCATTGCCACCACAATCGAGAGCAGGGCATTACCAGCGTCCCCAAAACCTTCCTGGGCCCATTCAAGTCATGACCTCCTCCTTCTCCAAAGGTGGCCGCCATTTTGACTTCCGATTGGAGCCTGGATTTGAACTCCACGAACAAAGCGTGAGGTGTCCAGTCCTGTTGTTTCAGCGATCGGTCTGTGACATTTGTCCACACCGTTGGGAGTGACTGTAACTCGTAATCGTTCCTCACGCTGCAGTCCACCCCAGGCCTGTGTGGGTCCCGATCCCCCAGGGGACAGGGTTGGCCATGTTTCAGGTTGTCACGGCTAGGGAAACACATGTCCTGTCATCTGGAGGTCACTGGTGTGCCAGACGTCCTACAGGACACAAATGTCAGTTATGTCACCAGATACCCTTCTCTACTGCGTTCTGTTGTGTGCCTCATTCGTTCCTTTGATTACTCATGGAGTGGGAGGCAGCCATCTTGGTTACATCCGCCATCTTGGTCATGTCTGCCATCTTGGTCACGTCCGCCATCTTGGTCACGTCCGCCATCTTGGTTACATCCGCCATCTTGGTCACGTCCGCCATCTTGGTCATGTCTGCCATCTTGCTGGTCATGTGACCCTGATGGACAGTCCATGTCCTGTAGGATGCTGGATGAAATGACAGCTCTTGAGAAAGGCCGGGGACCTTCTGGTTGGTCACAGTCACCATCACCCGTGAATACCTTCCTCCTTCTTGCTGTCACCAAGACAAGCTCTGTCCCTGGTCACCGGGGTCCTCAGAGTCACTACGTTTCTTTCTTTTTTCTCTTGGCTCCGTCCCTGGTTTTCCTGGACACCTCAGGGTCATTTAGGGTGATTAGTGCTTCTGTGAACAATGGGGTGCACAAATGCACGGGTGTCTGTCGGGTGTGACCTTGGGGACAGAGGGACGTCAGAGGGACATTTCAGCTTTAATTAATTCTGTTTAAATGGTCCTTCCTGCATACAATCCTACCAGCGGTGACAACCGCTACACCCGGTGTGTCCTTAGAAATGGCTATTTTACCGGAGTCCCAAATTTTGGGTTTAATTTTGGCATTTCTGCTCAAATCAATCTTTCGCGTGCCCCGTGTTTGCTAGGACGTCTTCGGCCGTGGAGTGACTGAGTGACCGATGAAGTCTCTGTGCTCCTTCCATATTTTCTTGATTTGTAGGAATTCTTGTCTTTCAGACAGAAGTTCTTCACAGGCCGTGTCACCTGTCCCCATGGACAGTGAGCGCCTCTCGCACCGGACGCCTCGCCAGGGTCCATTTCAGATTGTCACTGCTGTTGTGTGGGACGTGGTGACCATCTTCTGGTCATCTTCAAAGGACGCCTGGCATCCCGGCCCGGCCCTGGAGAGGGTTAAAGGACACGAGGACGTTTTTAATTCTCTCTGTAGTCTCTGGGTGACAGCGCGGCTGGGGACGGTGGCGAGTCATGGCGTCCCTGAGGCCTCAGCTGACTCAGGCTCTGGGTGGACACAGATGGACATGGGGATGGCCTCAAAAGCTCAATTAAAGAAAGAATCTTTTATGTTCAGTCAACCAACATCCAAATCCAGCTTCTGTCACTGAGCAGGACTTGGCCTGAGCCTCAGTTTCCCTGTTGTTGACCTTAGCAAGACGATGGATAAAAAAATCCCTGCCGCTGGCTGGGCACCATGGCTCACGCTGCAATCCCAGCTACGCGGGAAGCAGAGGTCAGGAGGATCGCGGTTCAAAGCCAGCCCAGGAGAAAGGGCTGGCAGAGTGGCTCAAGGTGAAGCCCTGAGTTCAAATCCCACACCGAGGAAAGAAGTCACGCAGGTGTAAGATTTTTAAAAACCATCGGGCGGTTATTAGAAAGCAGGAAATGAGTCCATGGGGTCCTGGGACCCCCCAGGTGATAAGATCTGAAAACCCACAGATCCCACACCATTGTCCCTGCGCCTCACGTCACCTCCGGGGGACACACCGGACATGACACATCCAAGAGCTCCACGAACGCTCCTCACGGGGTCGCTCAGTCGCTCAGGGAACGGTGACGGGAGCAGAGTTTCGTTTTTTAAATCTTTTGGGTCTGGTAGAATCCACGGGAGCCTGGAGGTGGCCATGTGGCCGCCTGGCTGGACGTCCCGGGGCAGGTGGCAGAGGACAGCCGAGGCCGGTCCTGTGTCCGGCGGTGACACGGTGACACAGGAGCTGGGAGGAGCAGGAGATTTGGAGGTGGGCATCCTCTGTGCTGTCACCACAGGTGACAGGTGCTGGACGAGTCCCAGCACCCAGGACACCAGTCACACCCCCCTTTCGGGGCCGAGACAAAATGGCACAGTTGGCTCAACAGCAGCCCCTGTCCCCGGCAACTCCACACTGTTAAGGAAAAGACAGGGACGGGGGCGTTGACCGTCACCTTCGGTAGCCATGACAGAGCCTCCTGACCCTGCTCCTTTGGTCCTCAGCAGGCCCAACAGCCGGTGACCGGCAGGGACCGTGGGAGCAGCAAGTATGGCCTTTGTGTGGCTTTTGTCTTAGCATCTGGGGTCACCATGCTCCCAACATGGGGACAGGGAAGGTCACCCGCCGGTCATTGGCCCAGGAGTGGTCACCGTATTGATTAGTGATAGATCATTGGTGATCACTAATCAATCATCAATCGTCCATCACAGCCATTCAGTTTTCTTGAGGCCCGGGGTCAGGGCTCTGTGCTCATTCTCCTGACCGCTCTGTGAGGCCACCACGGTGACAGGTGCGGTGACAGGCATGGTGACAGGCGCGGTGACAGGCATGGTGACAGGTGTGGTGAGAGGCACTGTGACAGGCATGGTGACAGGCACGGTGACAGGCATGGTGACAGGCGTGACAGGCACGGTGACAGGCGCAGTGACAGGCACGGTGACAGGCGTGACAGGCACGGTGACAGGCACTGTGACAGGCATGGTGACAGGTGTGGTGACAGGCGTGGTGACAGGCACGGTGACAGGCACAGGGGTGGAAGGGCGAGTGAGAGGGGCCTGTGAGACAGGACGGTGGACAGGGAAGAAATGGACAGGAAGGAAGGAGCCTGACCACATAGGACAAGGACCGGCCACGTGAGGAGGTAGCTCCTCTGTGTTGTCACCTCCACACTGTGGGCCCCTGGCCACAGCCAGTCTGTGACGGGGACACTCCTCCACCCACCAGACACAGGACAGAAGCAGGGACAGGCGAGGTCCGTCCTCTGAAGCTTTAGGGGACCTGCCACGGCCATGGCCACCCCACGGTGTTGGAGGAGTGCAGGGGACAGTCAGAGCTTTGCCCACAGGACTCAGGCAGCCGCGGCCAGCATGTGGCTTGGTCCTTTGGAGGCCATTGTCACAAAACACCGCAGGCTGAAACCCGCAGAGTCTGGAGGCTGCGAGTGCAGGGCCAGGGGAGGCAGATCTGGTGCTGGGCCATGGTGTCCCATTGTGGTGACACATGGATGAGGGGACAGCACGGCTCTCCGGGTCCCTTTCCTGAGGGCTCCACCCTGGGGACGAAGCACTTCCGGGTCCTGGCATCATCGCCTTGGGACGAGGTCCAGCATCAGAACTTGGAGGAAGCCAGCCCTGATCCCTGGAAAACCAACCCAGCCTGGCCGCTCGCTCCCGTCCCCTCTGGGAGGTCACCTCCCTCCTGTCCCCTCCAGGCAGTCACCTCCCTCCTGGCCTCTCAAGGCCATCACCTCCCTCCCGTCCCCTCCCTCCCATCCCCTCCAGGTGATCACCTCCCTCCTGTCCCCTCCAGGCAGTCATTTCCCTCCCGTCCCCTCCGGGCCATCACCTCCCTCCCGTCCCCTCCGGGCCATCACCTCCATCCTGTCCCCTCAGGGCCATCACCTTGGGCGCCTTTGCTGTGGCTTTGTCCCCGGCCTGCACAGCCCAGTGTCCAGTTCTCTCCTCTGCTCTGTGCGTCAGGGGTGGGTGGTGACGTCTGGCCTGGACAGCAAGACATCTTCTGCACATCCAACCTCCAGCTGTCCTTGGCATGGGGACGGCCGCCTGTCACAGCTGCCCCATGGTCACGGCTTGGAGGACACAGCGGCCGGGGCCGGGGGCCGTGTGTCGTGTGGGAAGTCGGTGTGTCCACAGCGTGGCCCGGACATCACTTCCTGTTTGTGACAAATGCTGGTTGTGCAGGTGGCCGGGAGGGGATGTTTCTTGGGGACAGGACACCAAGGTCTCCTTCATGGACAGCGAGACCGATGGACTCTGGTCTCCTGAGTGCCTGTCACTTGCAGTGCGTGATCCCAGGTCACCGGTCACCCCGGTTCCCGCTCAGCCACCCAAACGCTTTCTGCGTAAAACACAGACAGAGCTGCGTGTCCCCTGGTGGCGGGTCACTTTCCGGTCAGCTTCAGGTGACGCTGTCCCTTTTCAGGGGACCGTTTTATCCCCACACTACAATCCGGGCATCACGGAGCCCCCGAGGTTCGCGCCCAGCTTGATGGGACAAAAACCAACATCCCCTGGCAGGCCTGGCTCCAGGCTTGGGGACAGGGATGTCCTGTGGTCAGGAGGCTCTGTGGTGACGGTCCTTCGTGTCACCCGGGGTGCCCCACAGATCCTTAGCGGTCACTTGAAGCCGCATCCCTGGGCTGGGTGTGCAGGGGACAAGACGCTGGGTCTGTGTGACGCTGTCCGGGACGCCGGTGACCGGGGGCTCCGTTTTTTTTCACCAGCTGCCATTTTCCTTCCTGGCACAGGAACGAGGAGGCTGGAGACCCCGCGGTGTCAGCGCCGAGCAGACGGGACGTCCAGAGCAGGACGTCCAGAGATGTCCCCCTGTCGCCTGGCTCCGGCCGCCACCGGCCAGCATCCAGCCACTCTGGGGACGGCGAAGGCCTTGGTGTCCAGAGGAAGGCAACGGAGAGAAGGGGTGGCATGTCCCCGTCCCCGGTGTCCCCTCAGCTGCGGGCGAAGCTGCCCAGCCCCTCGGCCGCCCTGTCCGAGTTCGTGGAGGGACTGCGCAGGGCGCGGACGCAGAGGGGACAGGGGTCCACGCTGCGCCTGGAGGACTGGCCCTCGCCCCCCATCTACCAGGTCACCGGGGCCTCCGCACTCAGTAGAGGCCGGGCCAGCAGTGACGAGGGGTCACTTTCCCTCAGCGGCGGGGCGCGGTCCTCCCTGGGGGACGAGGGGACCTCGGCCACCCCGGCCGGTCTCCCGCGGTCCACCAGTCTCAGGAGCATCACCTGGGACAGCGCCGAGGACGCCGGGAGGCCCAGGGCCCGGTTCAGCTCCCACGAGTCTCTCCTGGTGCCGGCACCGGGCTGGGGACGCAGCCCAGTGTCCCCCGGGTCCCCCGGGGCCGCCCTCCTGTCACCCACACTGCGTCCCCGACGGCGGTGTCTGGAGGCCCCCATGGAGGATGCCACGGGCTGCCTGGACCTCGGGAAGGAGCCGCTGGTCTTCCAGAACCGCCTCCTCGGCCACCTGATGGACGAGCCGCCGGGCGGTGACCGGTTCGGCTGGAAGTCCCCGAGCCAGGCCCAGGTGGAGTTGGACGACTTCCTCCCGGCCATCAGGAGGCCGCAGACCCCCGTGGCCACGGCCACCGTCGGACGCGGCAGGGCCACGCGAACGAGCGTCCACTTGGAGACGGGGGACACTGACCCCTCCGAGACCGTGTTGAAAATTTGCCCGGGGTCCAAGGAGGACACCGCTCTCCTCTCCGACTCCTCCGACTCCTCCAGCTCCGTCACCTCCTTCAAAAGCGCGGACAGCGTCAAGAGCCGGCCGAGGCTCCCGCGGCCCGAAGGCGACGGTGGCGAGCAGGCGTCCCCCGAGGCCAGAGAGCCGGGCGCAGGGAGGAGGGACAGCGACGTGGAAAGCATCATGAAGAAATACCTGCAGAAGTAGCTCTCAGGTAACACCCAGGTGGCCACCGTGACCCCTAGAGACCCCATCCGGGGCGGGCAGCTGGGCTCCGCCTTTAATCCCGGACTTCACAGCTCACAGCCGAAATGACCTGGAAACGCAGGCGGGGGGGGGGTCACAAAGCCAGAGGGTCCCGCGGGGCTGCCGTGGCGTCCTGTCCACACCGTGATGGGGGACACCGGCGGCCAGCCTGCAGGACAGTGGAGTCCAGCCACACTCAGTGGATAAGATGGAGGGAAACCGAGGCCTGGGGTCCGGGGAGGGGACAGTGTGCAGAGATCGCTGCTCCCCCTCCTTCCCTCCGCGCCCGGGTTGGCCCCGCGAGACTGAGTGTGGACTGACCTCCCCCGGCAACCCCGAGATGCGGCAGGCAATATTCACTTTATTCCCTCTTTTTGTGGTGCTCAGGTTTGAACTCAGGGCCTTGAGTCTGCCTGAGCCACAGCCCAGCCCTTTTTCCCTCTGGTCCTTTTGGAGATGGGGTCTCGCTTTTTGCCCAGGCCCCCGGACCACGAGCTTCTCATTCTGCAATCTCGCCGTCGCTGAGGTGCCAGGCGTGTGCTACCGGGCACAGTTCTTTTCCGTTAAGATGGGGTCTCACTTTTTTCCTGGGCTGACCTCGAACCTCGGTCCTCCCGATCTCTGCCTCCCAAGTTGCTGGGATTACAGGCGTGAGCCGCCAGGTGCCTGGCCTGTAGGCCCATCGTATGCAGGCTCAGCGTTTAAGTCCCTTCACAAAATCGCCCAGGCTGACCCGAGATCCGCATTTCGGGACTCCTCCCCTGACCGACGAGACCTGTCCTCAGGGACCGGTCCTGGTGCTTTTGTGCGTGACAGAGCCAGCCCCAGACCACAAGGCTCAGGGCGTTCAGCCATCATACAGTCGCTCAGTGAGCACACTGGTCCAGTGGCATTTGAGCTGTTGTATAGTCGCTCAGTGAGGACACAGGTTCAGTCACATGGTTCCCATGTGAGAGAGAATCAAAGCTCGCTCACACCTGCTTTGCCACAGCCCCTTCTGTCGCCAAGTGAGGTCTGTTAGTCATTTACGTCACTACGCTCTCAGGACCGAGCAGCCATTTTTTCTTTACATTCAGTCTTCCCTCCCCTCCACCCCGAGTGAGGTTGTCAGGGACTGTCCATGGGAAGAAAGGGACACTGCCCAACATGGCAGTCAGCTTTACGCGGCTGTAACGGACACGGGAGTCAATTGACTTACAGATAGACAGCTGGGTCTGGCGTCCCTCTCAGCTCTGGGCGTCCAGTTCGTCCTGGGTGGCCCTGTGGCTTCAGGGACTGAGACGATCGTGCGTCACGGTGGCAGGGCGTTGGTGGCCAGTCACCAAGTGCCACCCAGCGTCTCCCCCAGTGACCAGAGCGGCTCTCAGGGTTTCCAGCCTCCTGATACCGCCCGGCCGGGGACCTGGCCTGTGACACAGCCACCTTTGGGGACACCCAGGTCCAAACCCGAGTGTCGTTTAGGAAATCCGTCCCAGCTTCTCCTCCCTGTGGTGTGGTGATGCACGCCTGTAATCCCAGCTCTCAGGAGGGGAGGCTGAGGCAGGAGGCTGAGGGTTCAAGGCCAGACCGTCTCAAAAAAAACCTAGTGGCCCTCCGTCCACTGCACCACTGACCGGTTCTGACCACGTTTCTTCCACAGCCTCCGGAAAGGCAGCTGCCATTGTCACTTGGAGACTCCACAGCCTTGGGGAAGTGGACAGCGGACAGCGGCTCCAGGGCCACAGCCAGGCGGCCCGGCCACCGTGAGGACGAAACAGGAAGGAGTGGTATCCCGTCCCCTGCCCAGGCACGGCCCACCGTGTCCAAAATAAAGCTGTCTTCCTTGCACTGAGCCGGGTCTCTGCTCTGTGACGCGTCACTGGGGACTGCAGGGTGACCAGGTCAGCAGGGGCCTCCCTCCTCCTCTTCCCTGGCCGTGTTGGCACAAATGTCACCTGGCCAGGTCACCAAGCTGAAGTCGGCCTCTCTCGGTGGCCCCATGCTGATCTCCCATGTGAGATGGGGTCTTGAGATCTTGTGGCTGGAGCCGGCCTCTGACCTCAAGCCTCCAGATCTCAGCCCCCCAACCACGCATCGCACAAAGTCTGATGGACACCTGAGCGCAGGTGACACGCGGACACGAGTGTCCCCATGGACGTGCATCCCCATGTCCATCTGTCCACACTCCCAGCCCCGTCCACCTGCTTCCCACACCACGGCCCCAAATGACCCTAGGAAAACACCCCAGTCGCTGTGGCGGGGTCGCGTTGGGGGCCGCGGGCTGTTTTTGTGGCGCTGTCACCGTGACTTCGAGGGGAGTCCATTTCCCGTTTCGGTGAGGACGCCAGCGGGCGCCTGTGATCCCAGCTGCTCGGGAGGCTGAGGCCAGGAGGATCGCGGTTCGAGGTCAGCGCAGGCAAATAGTCCTCGAGACCCATCCCCAAAACAACCAGAGCGACGCCCCGAGTTCAAATCCCAGTCCCACAGAAGAACCCAGTGGTGCCAGGCCTTGGTGGAAGGTGGCCGAGGCTCTGCCCCAAGGACCTCATTTTAACGTCACCTCTGTAAACGCAGTGTCACAAGAAGGTCCCTTCCTAAGGTTCTGGGGTGAGGACGTCAGCATTTCGGGGTTCACCCGTGACAACAGGAGAAGCAGTGTCAGCTCTGAGCAGCGCCATGACGGGAGACAGAGCGGGTGACGGGGCTGTCGGGGGGGGGGTCCCAGGTGTCATGGGTGTCACGGGTGTCAGGTGTCATTGTGTCACAGGTGTCACGGGTGTCAGGTGTCACAGGTGTCAGGTGTCATGGGTGTCACGGGTGTCATGGGTGTCACGGGTGTCAGGTGTCACGGGTGTCACGGCGTCATGGGTGTCACGGGTGTCAGGTGTCATGGTGTCAGGTGTCACGGTGTCACAAAGTGTCGGGTGTCACGGGTGTCAGGTGTCACGGGTTTCACGGGTGTCACGGATGTCACAGGTATCACGGGTGTGAGGTGTCAGGGGGGTGAGGTGTCAACAGGTGTCACGGGTGTCAGGTGTCGCAAGTATCACAGGCGTCACGGGTGTCAGGTGTCACGGGTTTCACGGGTGTCACAGGTGTCACGGGTGTCGGGTGTCATGGGTGTCAGTTGTCACGGGTGTTGGGTGTCACGGGTGTCACAGGTGTCATGGGTGTCACAGGTGTTGGGTGTCACAGGTGTCACGGGTGTCACAGGTGTCAGGTGTCACGGGTGTCAGGTGTCACGGGTGTCACAGGTGTCACGGTGTCACGGGTGTCACTGGTGTCACAGGTGTCAGGTGTCACGGGTGTCAGGTGTCACAGGTGTCAGGTGTCACTGGTGTCACAGGTGTCAGGTGTCACGGGTGTCGGGTGTCACGGGTGTCACGGGTGTCAGGTGTCATGGGTGTTGGGTGTCACGGGTGTCACAGGTGTCACGGGTGTCACGGGTGTCACGGGTGTTGGGTGTCACAGGTGTCACGGGTGTCACAGGTGTCAGGTGTCACAGGTGTCAGGTGTCACGGGTGTCAGGTGTCAAGTGTGCTCTGCTCTCCCCCTCGTCTCCCCAGCGGTGATAATGGAGGAGCGTCTGTCACCAGCCCCCCACACCAGTGACAGCCGGGGCTGAGGGCAGGGGACATCGCCACCCAGCAGCCACCCCACTGGCCAAGAGGTCAAAGGTGGCTCAGGTGCCAGCCCTCCAACTCTCCACCGCAGAACTTCACGGGTCAGGAGCCCCAACGTGTCACCTCCCCACAGGACAGGTCACCTCAGAGTCCAGGTCACCCCTCGGTTTCTCATTGAGCATGGTGACGTCTCGTTCGGAACTGGGTGACGGAGGTGACAGGTGACACCCTCTCTCCTGCCCTCACAGACGGCGTCCATGGTGGTGGCCTCTGTGTCTCCCACAGCAGCCAGAGTGTGGACAAGGGACACCCAGTGGCCCACTCTGGGGGTTCCATCTAGAAATAGTCACAGCTGTGACACCAGGGTTGTGCACTGCCTGTAAGTCAACACGGCGCACGGTGACACAGTGACCAGGCAAGTGTCCCCAGCAGCCAGCCGGGTCCCAAAGCCGCCTTCTGGTCTGGGGTTCGTGGACATCTTGGACCTGAGCCCGTGGTGTCCACGGTGTCACGCGTCCCCCAGCTGGGAGCTGGTGGAGTGACAAAGCCACCAAGAGAAAGACAGCAGCGTCCCTGTGAAGTCCCTGCTAAAAATCACAGGACATTTTGTCACCAATCTTGAAGACAAAAGTGGACACCCAGGAGGTCAGCCCAGGTGACCCCGGAGCCCTCCTCGCGTTCCACGGTCCAGGGGCCCCGTGACATCAGAGAGTCGCTTGCATCCTACGGTGACAGCTGGCCCGCTCAGGTGCCCGAGCGTCACCAGGTCGAAGCCCAGCTCGTAGACCCACCTGCCATGGCTGACGGTGGCCTCATAGACGCCCTGCTCCCTGTCACCTGCCCAGGTCACAGGCGAAGGCATGCAAAGAACAGAGCTGACACACCCTATGTCCCCACACTGGCCTCCTCCTCCCCCTTCAGCCCCCCAGTATGACACGGCTGTCACAACTCGCCGCTGCACTGTCCCTGCGTCCTCGCCAGCACAAGGGCAGCTTCATCCGGAGCCGACCTACGTGGGAGGCAGGGATGGGAGGATTGGGGTTCGAGGTCAGCCTGGGCAAAAGGTGAGAGACCCAACTCAAACGGGCGGTCACCGGAGAGCAGGCTATAGTCTCAGCTAGCAGGTGCAAGGCCCGATTCAAGTCCAGAAGAGCTGAGGAAGGGAGGAAGGGGGGGAGAGAGAGAGAGAGAGAGGGAGACAGCAGACAGACCATAAAGAGACAGAGAGAGAGGACAGAGAGAGCTGAATCCAACAAAGCATAGCTCCCTGCTTTGTGCGGTGACATCTGCCACCCTAAGTGACAGAGGAGCCTGAGGCCGTGGTCCAGGTGGACAGCAGCCACCTCCGCTCTAACCGGGGACGGTCAATGACGCCTGGGTTATGGGGCAGTTTGTCCCTCCGTGCCAGGCCCGCCTGCCCCAAGCTCACCGTGCATGGAGGGTCGACAGGGGACAGAGCTGAAATAACCGGGTCCCATCCGGGTGACCGGCTGAGGCCGCCCTCCCGGCCACAGGCCCAGCCCTGCCCCAGGCCCTGGGCTGTCAGCGTGTGGCCGGGACGGAGGGGTCAGGAACAGGACGGCCCCACAAGAGCAGGACGGTGGGTCTCCCTGCGTCCCTCTTCCCTGTGGGCCAAGAGTTAGGCCATGCGTCCCGGTGTCCCGGGGTCCTGCGGCTCTTCTGAGGACTCTGGGGGGGACAGGCATGGCCTCTGCCTGGGAGGGAACCATGTCTCAGGAGTGTCCAGGACTTCACACCCACCTGTGCCCGGCCTGGTCACCACCTGGCGCATGGACACCACGGCCTTTGGCAGCACCTCGCAAAGGACACGGGGAGCGCCCACGCCAGTAATAGGGTCGCTCGCTTTTTGTTGTTTGGTCAGACTGGGATTCGAACTCAGCGACTCCTCCCTTGGCAAAGCAGGCGCTCTGGCGCTCGGCCAGTCCTCCTGTCCGTCCTGCCCTCGACAGCGAGGGCGTCTTGTGAGTTATTTGCCAGTGCTGCCTCGAACCTAATCCTCCCCACCTCAGCTCCAGAGTAGCAGGGATTACAGGCGTGAGCCACGGAGCCCGGCTACAGTGAACCCGCAAAGGTCAGGCTCGGTGAGACGTGTGACAAGGTGACAAGGTGACAGAGCCAGACAGGGACGGACAGGGAAGGGCTGCAGGCCGGGCTACGGAGTTTGGTTTTCTGCTCTTTGAGGGGTTCGAGGAGATTTTCAGAGCATGGCTCCCGCTGCAAGGAAGAGACAGTATCTGAAGGGACCAGGCAGGGGACAGTGGGGACACCGCTGGAGAAACCTGGGGAAGAGATCACAGAGGTGACAGTGGTGTGGCGGTGTGGCTCCCATGGAGAGCGCTTGCTTGGCACACACAAGGCCCTGGGTTCAAACCCCAGGACGGACAAAAAGAAAATCCCTGACAAGAGGCAGAGCTGGGGTGACACGGAGGCTGGCACAGCGCACGGTGTCCCAGGCCACAGAGCCTTCACAGGACACGCGTGATGTGACAGCCAGCGATGTCACATCGCAGGGGAATCGGCCACCATCAAGCGTGAGCCGTGGCCCAGTCCAATCGCTGTCCTGCAGAACTCGTCAGAGCCTTTCAGGGAGCGTCAAGACGCCAGAGGCGGCTAGTGCCTGGTTAGCGCCTGGTTAGCGCCTGGTTAGTGACTGGTTAGTGCCTGGTTAGCACCTGGTTAGTTAGTGCCTGGTTAGTGACTGGTTAGTGACTGGTTAGTTAGTGCCTGGTTAGCATCTGGTTAGTGCCAGGTTAGCACTTGATTAGTTAGTGCCTGGTCAGTGCCTGGTTATTAGCTTGTTACTTAGTGACTGGTTAGTGCCTAGTTAGCACCTGGTTAGTTAGTGCCTGGTTAGTGACTGGTTAGTGCCTGGTTAGTGCCTGGTTAGTGCCAGGTTAGCACCTGGTTAGTTAGTGCCTGGTTAGCACCTGGTTAGCACCTGGTTAGTGACTGGTTAGTTAGTGACTGGTTAGCGTCTGGTTAGCACCTGGTTAGTGACTGGTTAGTTAGTTACTGGTTAGTGCCTGGTTAGTGACTGGTTAGTGCCTGGTTAGTGGCTGGTTAGTGGCTGGTTAGATGATAATGGGTTGGTTAGTGGTGGGTTGGTGGCAGGTTTGTGGCTGGTTCGCAGTGGATTAGTGGTGAGTTTGTGGCTGGTAAATTGTGAGTCTGTTGGGCTAGCAGCGGGTTGGTTAGTAGCTGAT